GCTGTAAAGGTGAAAAGAATAATGTTATAATGAATGATAAAGATGTGGGAGAATACTCATAAAGGCAATTTATAATAAAATTTATAGAGAGAGCACCATCTTTTTATGCAGCATTATGCTGCCTTCACTAAAAACCCCCTGTAACTTGTGTATATTGAGCACTAAAATATAGCAAAGCATAGGGAAATTATGAATAATCTGAGTTAATTTTCTCATTTTGATCACAAAATGTCAGTGTACCAGACGAGAATGATCTGGGTTCACAGAAAGAACTGGGAATGTCAAAATCTCCCTTCCTCACTTTTGTTCTGGAGCTCAGCCCAGAGCCATTGATGGCAGGACTCCAGTGGGTCTGGGATCATTCTTCAGCCTTTTCTCCTCCTTCTCTAAGAACCACTTTCCATTTTGTCCCTGTACTTGTCCAAAGTTTCAGTGCAGACCAGAAGTATATTTGAAATTACGTGAGCTGTCACTGAGTACTCTTAAACAATATAATTCCTTTATTCTGGCTTGATGGGCTGGGCAATTGATTTATGGCTGTTTATTTCTGCTGTGGTTAATGAAGTGGGAAGCAATAACTCAGGGGCTGCATCTGCCAGCAAGTGGAGCTCTTTGCTAGCCTAGGGAGGTGTGTCCTCCCCAGGAGCCTTCCTCCACCCCAGGCTGAAGCTACTGCAGAGCTGGAATTCAGTTCTGTTTTGGCCCTTTTGCAGCTTTCACATCATATTCCAGTTGTGTTGGTTTGTAAAACAAGGAGATGATGGCTAAAACCAGGCAATTTATAATTCCATGGAGATTTTTATTTGACAGCCAGGTGCTGTATATATTCCCTCCACCCCTTAAAAGGAAGATTTTAGCATTTCAGTTTTAGTTTATGTATTTGTAAGAAATTTATAACAGTAATTTTGGTTAAATGGTACATTTTGCTATACCAGGAATATGGGGGATGCAGGGGACAGTTTTCCTGTACTTTTCACACTCTGGGCTCATTGCCCACTGATGAATTTTTACAGGAATAGTTCCTTAGAGCAGGATGTCACCCTAGCTGTTCCATGATCTACTTTGGTGATTTCATCAATGATTTAAATTGTAGGGCACTGAAGGATCTTTCAGTGAGAACCACTGTTCCAAGAATAAACTTTATTTTAAATTCCCCTTCTTTTATACTACAAACTGTCTTGATTAGGAAGGATTTTTAACTAAAATATATAATTTTCCAGTCACATAAAGGAACGCACCAAGAAAATGTCATTCAATCAAGATGAGATGTCAGGATTAGTTTTCTAACTCAAACTGTGAAATGAATCCTCAATGAAATCCAGATTGAACATAGCATTTGCCTGCTAATGCTTGAAGTACTCTTTTTTATGTACTTTATTAATGTTGAAGTCTCATTTATTTATGCTGGTGTGTGGTTTACTTGGCATGTTATTCCATGTGTGCTGGCAGTGTTTTACCCTAATCATTCTACACATCCACTGGTTAGTGCTAAGTCATCCAGCTTTCTGCAGGTGGCTCATTTTGTGCATAAACTTATGCTCTGAAGTGCTCGTGCTTGTTCCCTCAGAGCCCTCCAGTGTTCTTACTCCCCCATGGTCAGAATGTTATTGCCAAACTTAGAGAAAAGCAAGTCTATTTTGGCAGGAAAAATATATTATTTTAGGTGTGTAACTCTAATTTAATAAGGCAGAAAGAGGAAGGTGCATGTTCTCCTCACACATCCTCATGTGCTCAGCAGGGAACTCTCTCTTTCCTCCTGTTGTGCTGAGCATGAGTAAAGCAGGGAGAATTCCCCAAATTCCCCACTACCCTGAGATGGCTCCTGCTCACCCCATGGCTTCAAACTGAAGCTGGAGGGGAAGAGAGATTGGATTTCTGGAAAGGTTTCAAAGAGTTAAGCTCCTTTTCTCAGTGCTTCTCAGGAATAGCAATCAGTAAATTTGCAATGTTAGTTATGCTAGTAACAAGAAAAGTCCAAGAAAGTAGAATTTACATCCCCAGTGTATGGGTGGAGGCACAGACTGGGAGATGGGTTAAGTGAATTCCCACCTGGTGAAGTTGGAAATTGTGTGCAGGTCTCTTAAACTCAAATCCTCCTCCATGAGGCCTCTCACTTTTGCTCCTTTTGAAAATACTGATTTTATGAGCCATCATTAGCTTTTCTGCGCTTTCATTGCCATGACAGAGTTCCCTGGAAATGCTTTGCAGCCTTCCATGCCTGGCCAGGTCTTTAGAGCCCTGGACATATTCAAGCAGGGCTTTGAAGGAGACCTGCTTAGACAAACTGTATGAACTCTGGAAACAATGGAAATAGCTTCCAGCTTGGCTGCCCTGCCCCTGAAATCTCCTGGAGCTTCTTACCCTGAGCTGCCTCGGCAGCTTTTGAGAAAAGATGCTGCTCCCTCTCTTCTTCCTGACCCATTGATTTCTGGGAGGAATTTTTAAAAAAGGAATTAAAAAACATGTAATCATAAAATGCAAATATTAAATAGCTACAGTCCTCCCCTTGTAGAGGTAATTTCTTGAGTAGGAAAGTAAAGAAAATCACTGTATCTAAGGAAAAATCTGCTCCCTAAGCAAGCACTGAGAAGAGATCTCTATAACTAAGCATGAAATGAAGGGGAAACAATCTCCATAAGATGAGAGTGGCTTTCCACAGTTCTCTCCCACCCTGGACCCTGTTGTTCTTCCCAGCCTCTGCAAAAACCAAAGTTCATCTGTGCTTTCCCTGAGCTCTGCAGGGGACTGATTGTTTTTCAGAGTACAAAGACCTCCTTCATTTAGCTTTTGGGGGCTGTCAGTCATATATTCAGAAGAGAGCATCTGTATATCTCTGCAGGATCACCTTGTTTTATTGCTGCTGCGGCACACTGAGACTGTGCCTCAGATCACTCCCAGGCAAATCTGGCTTTTGTTCCACATGAAAGTCAGGTCTCCCAGAAACCACAGCTCAGTTTAGGAACATACTCAGGGACTGTGGCCTCTTACAAAGCAAGGAAGGCAGAGAATAGTTTCACTCAATCAGAACAAAGCAAACAAAAAACCTTTCTCTGCAAACCCAGTGCAATAAGCCTCAAGGCTTCAGTAACCTGTGCTGCTCTCAATTGTGTGTGACTTTGTTAGAGGATCATTAGTTAAGGCTAATGAGGGCTTGCCTGCACACTCTCGTCTCCATAACTTACACACCAGCTCTTGTCTCAGAGAATTACAGTGACATTACATCAGCAAACAGAGCCAACTGTGATGTATTAGACTGCAAACCAAAAACAATGGGAAATTAGTTAGGATGGATATGGGGAGGGGAAAACTGTTGGACTCTGATCTCATGTATTTCCTTCTGAGAGAATTCTGCTCAAATCAAGGCCCCTCTAAACTCGTTGCTGTGTCTTTGTATTCAAAACTACCATGCAGAGCAGGCTGGACTTTGTGGCTGGGTGTTAACATTCTCTGTCAATTCCCATGAGCATTGAAGGAGGTGTCAAAACTCTTTAAACTCAAGGGAAGGCACAACTGACAAAGTCACACCCGTAAGTTCCAACAGGGAGAGGTGTAACATTAACTCCAGTGGAAGAGGGCAGGGACTGTAAATTGGAGAAGTGCTTAAATGCTCTGATGGATCACTGCCTCCTTCTGCCCTGTTTTACATCAAACTGGAGCACTTGAATTGAACAGCAAAGACCGAGCAATGTAGCCATAATTCATGGCCAGACAGTGCAAATTTAACTAAGACACCCCCACCTTTGAATTGAGTCAGTGTTGGCAGTTAAATTGAGCCAGGGATGATTCTGAAGCATTGTGTGTGTGTGCTGCAATCAGCCCTGGGGAGGGTCTCTCAAAGAGATTATTGGAATGATATGTTGATATGATGGGTTATGCAAAAGAGATATTGGAATGATGGGAGCCTCTCTGAGTTCTGGTGTTGCAGGAGGGGCAGTGAGGCTGTGGTGCGCAAAGTGCTAGGTGGGTGATCAGGAGCAGAGCAGGGACTGATGCTGAAAGCCCTGACTGGCATCAGCATTCAAAAGGCCTGCTCATACCTGGCTCCCAACAGGAAGCTTCCCATTCCACAGGGCAAAAATCAACCTCAAGAAAAGTTTAAAGGACCAGAGATAAGAAAGTAATGAAATATTTTAGCACTTCTCTCTTGTGTTGTTCTATAAACAATAGACAAGTTGTATAAATGCATTATTTTGCTAGAGTATTTTGATGTTTTATAATTATTTTTTCAGATCAGACTGTTTGATAGATGCAGTCTCCGGATGTGATACAATTTCTCAAACAGAGAAAAGTTAATTCCCAAGTAAGCCTTCTTTGGACCATACAAACCACAGAAGTAAATGTTATTGGGGTCAACTTTGGTTGTCTTTTCAATGATGTTCATGCAGGGGCTTTGGACAGGGGTTTATTTCAGAATCCTTTGTGAAAATAAAAAAGCAAACTCAAGAAAATAACAGGTTATATGAAGGTTCAATCACAAGGGAATAGTTAAAAGAGTTGAAGAGTTCTTTTAAGCTCTCCAAGATTATAGTGGAGTTATAAAGAGGAGGATTGGACTGACCTCAAATAGAGTAAGGTAAAACTATTCAAGAACAAAAGTAATATTTTTCATCTTCAGAAAGCTGAATGTGCACATAGGACACTTCTGCTCTTTCTTTAAACATTGGTTATGGAAAAAATCACATTCATAAATAGACAGTGTGACATCTACTGATAAAATCAACAGAAGAAATTTGGTATCTATTGCAAAGAGCAAGCCTGACATTTAAATGAATGCCCAGACAGTAGATTGAATAGGTAGATGGTTATATCCATTGCCTGCTGGCTTCCTTCTCCCCTGTCTTTTAGAGCAGTCAGAGTTGGAATAAAAGAGGAGAGATTTTCTTCTTTTGGAAAGGACTAAAAAGTTAACTCTTTTCACTTTATGGAAATTAGGGATGCCATATCTTCTTTTATTGTTATCATAATCAATTTTTATTTTCATCTCTAGTGCAATGCTTTGACAATAGTTGGAATAAATAGAGTAAAACTTCAAGGAAAAGAAAAGGTCATTCTGTAGAAACAAATATCAAAAATAGGTCAGTAGGCTGTTTCATAAACCTTTCTTTGTACTGCTCTGGTAATGATAAAGGTTATTCAAGACCCAGAAAGAGTCCCAAAGGTTACCCCTTTGGAAAAACCCACCACCACTGGATCAATATTGTTCCACAGCATTGTGTGGAAACCAGAGTATTTCAGACAATAATGGAGCATAGAAAGGAGGTGAGCAGCAACCTACAAAGCACCGGGGATAAAGCTGGCCCTGCAGGCCCCAGGGCCAGCTGTGGTGGCTGTGGCATAGCTGCCTGGGCAGCCCTGTGCAGACAGCTCTGACCCCTGACTCCTGCTGGAGCCTTGGCAAACCCCTCTGCAGCAGCTGCTCTGCTGCTCACACAGAGTTCCTTGGGCACTTTATATTTGCATTAAAGCTTTTTGCCCTCTCAGCCTGCAGAGCTGCAAGAATTTCTCAGTTAAGATTCTAAATTACATTTAAAAATGCGGGGGGAAAACAATCCATCCTCTTAAGAAGTTTTTGTGTCCCTAGAGTGCTGAGGTTGCCAGGCTGGTTGTGCAGGAGAGAAGAGAAACACTGGTTCTCTGGTTTTGGGCAGGTGGTCTGTGAAATTTCTCTAACTGCCTTTTCCCCCTTCCAAAACAGGTCTTGGTTAAAGTTAGTAGCTTTTTGTAGAACATTCCTACAATGTACTGTGCCTGTCTTAATGTGAGCTATAGAAATTTCAGTCTATATGGACTTGGGCTGCAAGCCTGCTTAGGTAGAAATCCATGACTGTTCTGTGTTTTGTTTCCTTCAGTACTCCATTGGGAAGTTAGAGGGCATCATGTCTGAAGAGATTTGGCCTCTCAGAAATGCAGCCCAGCTTCTGATCAGACTGAGATGTGTGGGCAGGCCCCAGCCAGGTAAGGACAGCTGTCAATGTACTGTTGGTTGAACTCTGCAGTGCACCTGCAGGGACCAAGCAAAACCAAGTTCAAATCTGCTGCACAGCAGTTACTACTCAGCATGGTTTGCCATTTATCCAGAAATATGCATACGCTCTGGGGAAGTGTCACTGAGTGAGATGGAAGGGCTAAAAACCCATTAGTGCCCTAGTAAATCTACTCTGAAGACAGTAAGGGCCAATCTGATCTATTGAGGTCTACAATATTGCCCTGGGCAGATGATTTACAGTGCCTTCCAGTGCCAGTGCAGATCATTGCTGCTGCCCAGGGGTCATGGGGGCACAGCCCTGGTTGCTCAGTTTGCAGAACAGTGGCAACTGAATTCTTGGTTTCAGTCACAGCCAGAGTTTTTTCATTTGACTTGTACTTATTTTCTTTTCTAAACTTTAATAACATGAGTTAATCACCCAAGTCAGATTTCTGCCTGCTCTGTTCAAGAAGGACCAAAGGGTGAAGTCTGAGCTGTAATCTGAGCAGTGCTCAGTTTCAAGCATCAGAATAAATCTCTCTGTGCACCTGAGCTTAACCCATGATCCTTTTCCTCCTGACACTCCAGTGCCAAACCCATCAGCCCTCCCACATTGATCAGGAGCCTTTGAATGACTTATTGCAAAAGACAGTGGTATCATACAGGTCTGTGCAGCCACAGGTGGCTGTGCCCTGGCTAGAGACACACTCAGTCTCAAACACAGAATAATAATATATAAATAACTGTATAATAATAATATAATATATTATAAATATAATAAATAAATATAATATATTATAAATATAATAAATAAATAACTGTAGATGGAAAATGTCCTGTGCTGAATACAGCTTGGGCCCTGGGCCTGATGGTGCAGGGTGAGATTCTGGTGCTGCCACCACTGAGACCAGTGAACAGTGATGGCTCTGGGGACCTCCCTGATTGCCCACTCAGCTCCCTCAGCCCAAAGCTGCTGCTAAAGCCCCTGCTAAACAAGCCAACCTCTGCTATGAGCAGGATCTGTCCTCTTGTTAAAAGACACAGAGGAAAAATGCTGTGACTCACTCTGGGCTCAGGGTCCTGACATGCCTTAGTATTGTCATTGCTGTTGCAAAAATCAGCTCTTATTTTTCAGGCTGCATTAGCAGCAGTGTGATGCTTTGGCACTCCCACTGCTGAGAAAAGATTATTGCATCCAGTGCTAAATCAAGGGGTGCATTATACTGGAAAATTGTTATTTTGCATAAATAACCTTCTTGAACCTTCCCATGTCAGTCCCCAGTCTGCTTCTGGGACAGAGATGCTGTGTTTTTCCTCACGGCAAAATCACATAAGTAATGAAGGAAAACTGGGAACAGGCTGACATAGAAGTCAGATTTCTGATTCTGAGGCCTTTATCCACTCATGGGGAAAATTGTTGTTCTTCTTTCAGCATTGTGCAAAATAAGAGTTTGTTTACAGATAAAGAAATAACACAAGGGTGCAGTGGAATGAATATAAAACTTCACATACAGACTCTCTTTGCTTGCTCAGAAAAAGTAGTCTTATCTAATTCTGAAGCTCTTTTATGTTTGTTTTGTTACTCAGTAGGAGCAATATTTTTTCTTGTTTTGTTGTTTTAAGGTGAGAACTCTTCCATAGGCTTTTATGCTTGATGCCTCTTAAAGAAAGATGGAATTTTATGTGGTAAACATTTTTTCTCACTATTTCTCCTTGGCTAGGCTTTTTAATAAAGTCTCTGTCCAAGAGCCAGGGATAAATTTGAAACACTGGCTTCAGTGCTGATGGCTGAAGCTGCTAAACCAGTGGATATCCCAATGACACATGCATATCATATTCTGGTTTAAACCTCTGAATACATGAGCTTCTTTTTGCCTCCTCCAAAAAGGTGTAGTTGGAATTCTGTCCTGCAGCTGCTCCTGCTGCCAGTTTCTTGTGTAGTAAAATATTGGATTCCAGTGGTGCTGTGAACTTCATCACTTGTGAAAAGCATTTCTGCACATGCAGGACTGTAAAGTGACACTTGCCAGGTGGTTTCTGTGCTCAAGCACATCTGCTTTGCCTCTCACAACTTCTGATTGTAAGTGCTCCTGGTGCTGGGCTTGAGTCTCCCTCTTACTTTCACCATTGAATAATGTGTGAAATTTCTCTAGTCTGCTCTGAAATGTCACCCAGTCTCAGTGATCTGTAGAGGGGCAGAGAGGAATTTCACACTCAGTGGTATGGTCTGTGATCTCAGGTAAGAAAATATTACAAAGCCAAATACACTATTTCTTCTTTAATAGATGATTCCCCTTGGTTTATATAAAAAATATTTTTATCACATAAAACTTGATGAAAAAAATTAAATGAAGTAGTTAATTTGTAGGCCCATCTCAGATCTTGAAAATTTCAAGGTGATTTTGTTTAAAATGCCAGAATATTTTAAATGTGCTGTTTTATAAGTACCATAGGTCCTTGGAAATATCCTTTCATAGAATGTGGCCTTCTAAATGTTTAATTTAACAGCTGATAATAGGATTCAGGCTCTTCAGGCTGAGAGCTTTCAGAAGTTTATTCAGCTTGTTTATCTAGATAGAGCAGGGACAGAGCATGTAATTGAATAAACAATGGTTTAATTAATTTTTCAGTTTTGCAGTACAGCTCACTTGTACATGTGAGTGGTAGGAGAGATGTAGAGGCAGGTGCTGCTTTCACATCAAAAAGCGATGCTCCACCAAAGAAACCAAAAATGGGGTTTTTCAGTCCCCATCTCCATTTTACTTCTGAAAAAAATAGTAAAAAACTTTTTATGCTTTTTGGGGGTGTTTTTTTTTTTGTTTGTTTGGTTTTGGTTTTTTTATAGTTTATGCAGAAATTCTGGTTTGAAAGAAGTTTGTCCTTCCCTTTCCTGGGGTGAGGCAGTCTGGCTGCCCAGACCTGTGTGCACAGCACTCCCAGCAGCTCCAGGGACCATAAGCTCAGTCAGCCCAGGCTGGTACAGATTTCCTGGGGTGTGTGTGCACACTGACAGGCTCTGGATGTGCTGGCAGGGTCACAGGAAGGGCTACAGAAGCATGGCCTTTCTTTGCTTTCTCCCTTCTGAGCGCAGGGCTGGGAATGAGAGCTTGGCCATCCCTACTCCTAATATGCAGTTTCCAGCTTTGGGGTTGTACTTTTGGCTTGGTTTTTTTGCTTGTTTGTTTTGACTCTTTCTGCTGAAGCAAACAGAGCATTTGTGAAGTGCAGACACATTTTGAAAAACCACAATAAAACGAAAGAAAATCACAATAATTAGAAAGACTGAGTAAAGGTCAAAGATAGAGTTGGTTAAAGTCATCACTCAGACTTGCTCTGTAGTTTTCCTGTGCTGCATCACAGCTCCTGAGCCTTTTGCTGGGCACTGCCAGTCCTGTTTGCTTGATTGTCTTCAAGTCTTCATCTTTTTTTAGAAGTCCTGAACCCACAGCTGCATGAAGAAAAAATAAACAGACAAACATCAGGATTTCTTATCAAACAGCATTGTTTCTGAATCTCAGGCTGATGGAATCTGAGACCTTAAAACCTCCAGATTTTCTCCGATTTGTCTTACAGTGCCATTTTTAGGATCCTAGTATTTTTACCATTTTTAATTATTTCTTTGACCATGATTTCAGGGAAAAAGGCAAGCATGAAATTATTGAGAAACTGCATTTGCTGACATAGATGGTATGACTGAAGGATCATAGAGCTAATTTGGTTGCTAGTATGAAAAGTTCTCATTAAGAATATTTTATTTTTTATAACAATGTGTTTACATTGCCCTTTATACTTTTCAGCTCCATTGATACTGAAATACAGCAGAGATCTAACTGCAAGGAGAATTTGGATGAGTTTATTGAAATAAGAAAGGCACCAGCAAAGCTTTTTTATTCTGGTCAGACCAAGCATATGGGAGAAAGTCAATTACATCCTCTGGTAGCATCACAAAGATTGAAAACAAGCAGCTCAGGATCTTTTGCAAGGAATTAGAATAATAGCGGGTGTATAATGTCCTAAGCAAGTTTAAGTCTCCAAGAAAAGTGTTTTCTGACCTGCACCAATCTGAACAATAATCAACTAATACAGCAACTAACTGTAAGTTCTGCAGAAGAGAAAAGTAACAGAGAGAACCTCTCATCGTCCTCCAGAGCCAGAAAATCTGAAGAGTGAGTATGAGGAGACATCCATTGAGGTGCAGCAGCAGCCAGAAGCTGGGAAATTGAGGGAAAAGTTGGCACAAAGCAGAAAATTCAAAATGCAAACTCAGCAAGCAAGAAGTTAAAAGTGAAAAATTGACTCCACCTACCCCAGGGCTGATACAGAGCTGGCAGTGGAAGCTCTTTGGAAGGGAAGTGTTGGCCACCTCTCTGGTGGGAAGGCTGTGTCCTCTCCACCCTGTATTCACTGGAAAGCCCTTGGCATTTGCTGGAATGTGCTTTGTGCTAATAGAGTTGTCTCTGGCTGCGTTGTCTCTGCAGTAAGAAGTTTCTTAAAAAGAAAAAATGCAAAACCAAGAAACAACAAAACCAACTAAAACCCACAATAACGGGATTTAGAAACAAAACCAAATAAATTTATAGCAGCAGACTGGCTGTTAACCTTTTCTGTACACAGAATGTTATTTATTTCTGAAATATGGCCCTAAATTCTGGATTTATTCATGAATGCTCTGAGAAATTTGCTTTCATTTTATTACAGGACAGGAGATCCCACAACTCTGTGATCTTTTCTTTCACTTTCTGCCTTAGTTTGAAAGTTTTTGGGGTTTTTTTGTTTGTTTGTTTGTTTGTTTTTTTTTTTGTTTTTTTTGTTTTTTGTTTTGGTTTGGTTTTTTTTTGCCTAGGCCCTCTGCATTGCATTACATTTCTTGGCTTTTTACAGAAGTACTATTTCTGTGCTCCAAACTCTTCTCACATTAATATAACTAAATCCATATGTCTAGTTCATACAATTGAACATGAATCTCTGGCAGAAGCTCTCTTGAAATCTGACTACCACTTTGGCCTTTTTCATCCCATGCAGTTTTTTATGAGATTTTTACCCATGCAGTTTGGCAATTGGAAATCAACACGCTTTCTTTGCTACTGTATACCTTAAATAATTTTTTAAGACTTGATTCCCAGTTTTTGCATTCAGGGCAGAGTGACCTAAAAATTAGCTGTTTGGTTTTCCTAATCCTTCATTGTTTTCAAAGACAAGCTAAACATTTGAAGAAATTTCTTTAAACAGTGTTGAAACTCCAGCATTTTGCCTTATGTTCCTCTGTCCCAATCCAATTTCTTTGAAAGATAAGTTGGATGAGGAGCTTGTACTTGGTTGCAGATGTTGGTCTGACTCTTTTTTGCTAGGCTGCCTGAGAGCTGAAGTGGAAGCAGTGGGTTGTGAGTTGTGTTTTTTCCACCACATTTCAAAGCAACTCATCCTCTCCATCAAAAGTAGCTGTGCCAGTTTTCTGTGCTTGATTTAGACAGGAAAAGTCACAACAGTGTTCAACCTTCTGCAACAGTCAAAGTCTTTTCAGTTTCCTTATCTGAATGCTGCCATTTTGGTTTATATGCCTGGGAAATGAAGCTCTGTTTTCATGAGTCTTTGTTCTGTGACCAAACTCTGTAAATGAAAAAGATTAAACACTAAAAGACATGTGCACAATGTGCTTCTACTGCACTAAGCCCAAAAAAAATAAAAGAAAAAATCAAGCTGTAAAAGCTGTCTGAGCTACCAAAGGCGTTGTGAGGAAGTATGAGTGTTTCCAAAAATATTTGAAGAGAATATGTGTTTATGTATGAAATTTATTTCAAACAAAGGCAATTTGTCTTGTCTGAAGATTCACATGGTTGGTAATGCAATTGAGTTAGAAAAAAACAAGAACAGGATGCTCAAAAATTCTTACATGTTTAAAAACAACACTAGACTCTTCCTATTTTAGAACAAGATTTAATTGCTTTCTGTAAAATGCCCTGGCAGGACAACCATTTTCTCACTGGCAGGTAACAGCAATTCCAAAAAATGTGCTTTCTCCAGTGTAGCTGTAGGAAGTGTTGCTGCCTAGAAACTAGCAGAGTCATTAATCAAAACAAAAAGAACCAACTGTTATATAAAGCAATAATTTTACTAGGCAAGTACTTTGAATCTGCTTAAATCAGATGACCAGAACATATTACCCAGTTTTTGGTTTATTGTCTCCATAAAAACGTGGAAAAATGCATGTCTGCTCCAGTAGTGTTTTTTTTCCAGGCTCAAGTATTCTGCAAGTGATTTGGTGGGGCTGGGAGGGGTGGATTTGTTTGTTTATTTGTTGGATGGTTGGTTGGTTGATTGCTTTGTTGGGTTTTTTAATCTTTCTGGTTCTTGCCACATTTTTTACCCTATTGGTAAAGATTGATTCTTGCTGAGGAGGTTCAGGCACCCACATTGTCCTCCCTGATTGCACCGTGGCTGAAAGGAGTGAGCTCCAGCCAGGAGTCTCACTGGGGGCGTTGTTATCAACGGGTAATGTGGAAATGCTCAGGATAACCTGCAGTACTCTGAGCATAAGTAACAAGATGAAAGCAAGCAGAAGGAAATTTATGCTGATCCTTAGGGAAAACCTGTCTTCATATTCCATCCTGTTAGATTATATAAAAGGTCACTGGGGAGCAGAGAGGTGCTTGGAGTTGCTGTAGACTGAAATGTGAGGTTCACTTGCAGGAAGCTGTTTTGTCAGGAGAAGGAACTCTTCTGATCTAAGATTAATCTCACCAGTTACTGCAAATGTTCTGATTCCATGGGCCCTGCTGAGCCCTGGGAACTTTCCCAGTTTGTGTCCAAGTGCCTGATGTGTCTCTTCTCAAATCAGCACTGAGAATCTCTATTCCCTGGTGACAATTCTGGAAAATATTAATTGAGCTCAGAGACATTTCAGAGACTGAGGCAATATTGTGCTGTCTCAGCAAGTTTAAAAATTATACAGATCTTTCTTAAGCAGAGGCCTGTAATTGGAGCTCAAGCAGCCATTTTTCTCCTAACTTAAAGTGGAGAAGAAGAAATAATTTAGTTAGAAACCTGAGTCTTAATAAGAAGTTATTTGGTTAGAAATAATTCAACTACTTACTTTGGGGTTTAATTCCCTTTCAGGGAGGCTGTACAAAAAAAAAAAATTAATAGGAAATGGATTAATGGAAAAATAAAGTTAAATTCAAATATGGTGTTGTAAAATGTTTAATATTAATATGCTAAATTTAAATTTATCCTACATGGACTATTTATTGGTTCTAGTAAGCTGCTTCTTCCATGCCTGTTACACTCAATTTTATTTTGCTCTCTTGCTATTCCTCTTTTACAGGAACACCTTTTTAAATAATATCCCAGTTTATGTGTGACTCCTGCTCTCCAAAATAGCTGAGGATTTACAAAACCATGTCTTACTTTTCTACCCCTTCATATTGTTGCAGAAGCTGAAAAAAGTATTTTCTAATTTCATTTTCAATTATTTTTAGGCTACAGGAGTGACTGAACACAGATTACCTCCTCCTGGTCCTCCCACAGGCAATGTACCTCTGGCAAAAAGAGAATGCACAAAATTCCTTCACTGTACAGAGATCTTTGAGTCTGCAAAGGTATTATAAGAAGTTTTTAAATATTAAAGAATGTGAGATTTTTCTTGTACAGAATCTGCACAGCTAGAGCATTATAAAAAAAGAATTTATAAGGCTATCTGCTCATTTGCTTGGTAAAACCAACAGAAACACCTCAAAAAAAAAAAGAGCTTGTTGGATTCAGTGTGCATCCCCATGTCCTTGGTAAACTGCCTGGCCCATAAAAGAGCATGATCCTTTCTGTGGCATTCTAGTGAATGATACCTTGCTTTACACCCTGGTTAGAGTGATGTTTTTAGGGTGTTGTTTTGGAAAAATGGCAGTGAAACAAGAAGCTGGTAGACATTTTTGACAGTACCTTTCTTTTATTATCATAGAGATTTTTCTTAAGAACCAATGCAAGTCACTTGCACAGAAGTTTCCTTCTATGACTCTTTGAGGTTCACTTATTTACTTTTATGTAAGTAAAAAAAAGCAAAAAAGTAAAAGCAGCAGAGAGAAATCATGAATGTGATACTTTCCAATTTGTATTTTTCTGGGTCATAAATAGGGCTATATTAAGATGTTAGTTAAAAGAGGTATATTTTTTTTGTAATAAAATTAGACTTTGTTGAAACTGATGGGTTGAAAACCTGCTTTCACCTGTCTCTGTTTGCCATATTCTTTGTTCAGCATTTGGAACCCAGTGACCTCCAAGAGTCTCTGAGAAATCCCCCTGTGCTATGTAGGGAGCAGCCAAGTGTCACCAGGGGTCTCTGGCTTGTGCAGCTTCTCAAATCCCACAGATGTGATTTGAGCTGCTCTGAGCCTGCTTTTACACAGCACCTGGTGTGAGGAAGCCAAATTGTCCTTTTCTAAGGCCTTGAATTCATAAAAGCCACAATTGGTATAGAGCCACCTTGTCTTCTTAATACTTGTTCAATCTTAGGCTAAATACAGCTCACCATGGCCAAGCTCTCTCACTGTACCTAAAAAAGGTTAATAACTTGAAGTATTAACTTGAACTATTAATAACTTGAAGTATTATCTGAATACTTTAAGATATTATTTTCTACTATATTGAGAAATGTTTTTCATTTTTAGTTTAAAAACTGCTAAACAATGTCACACTGTAGGCTAATGTGGTAAATAAAAATCATTCCACCTCTGAACTATGCTTGACTTATCAAAAAATCAGTTAAAAATCACTTTAACCTGAATTCACAAAGAAAACTGACTGGGATTTTCAGTCAGCCGGAACTCAGCAAGCTCTGTAGTTTCCTCTGAGCTGTGACATTGGCTTAGAATAATATTCTATGGCCATTTATTCATCACCAAGTATTAAAAATGGTTTGTTATTCAAATAAAAAAATGTAACAATACACTATAACTGTCAGTTCAGTAGCTTCCCAGCCCATTTCTAAATTAACTGGTTTAACAAAATTAATTTTCTTCCTGGAGAGAATGGACAGAAAAACAAAACAAAACAAAAAAAAACCCCAAACCAAATAAACAAATAAAAGCCACAAGTATCCCTAAGTGCTCTTTAGAGTTATGAGGCTGATTTGCAGAAGCATTGAATGCATCTGCACACTGAAAGGGATGGAAAATAAAAACTCAGGGTATCACACCAGAACTTGTTGACTCAAATCAGAATTCTGATACTGAATCAAAATGAATAGTTAAGTGTTTGATGGATTTAAACTAGCATGTAATTACCTGCACCAAAATGCATCATTTGATATTAAATCCTTTGAAGAGCTTTCTCTATTTTTATTAATATAACCTGAAAAGATTCCAGCTCTGCAATGCTGGTGTTGTCAACAACCTCCTTCCAAATCCTGATAAAATTATTTTCATAGCAATCAAAAGATTATCCTGAAAATAGCATTTAATTAAATAGCATTAATTTTTTTTCTCTCTTTCAGTGTCCCTTCTGTAATTGCCTTGTTCCCTCAGTAGTTGTGGAGGAATTTCAGCCCAAGAAGCTCTGGTGAGGCTTCAGAGGTACTTGGAAAAGTGTTGATATTCCTATACATCACTGAGTACTCATTGCCAGTGCATTCCCATTTCTCATCATTCTAAGAATTTCTGAAAGTCTAGGAAATAATCTGTATGTCATTGCAGTTTATTTGGATATTTATCATCGTAAAGTTTAGGAGATTAATTATTTGTGCAATAAAATTAATCTTTGTAAATAGGTTCTATTGCACATGCTATTTTTTCTTCATCAGAGGAGTTAACCTCTACTACCAAAATCCACCATAAACTGTAAAAATTAAAGAGAACACTAAAACCATAGTACTTAAAAAGACACAAATCAATTTAAAATTAACAATAAGCTTTCTAGTTAGGCTGTTTATTGCCATTGATATTAAAAGTTTATGGGATAATAAAAATATCAGTTATTTCTGCACATCTGGTCATCAAGTTGCAAACTTACCCTTTAGTTAGAAGAATGAAGTTCAAAGCAAACATCCATTTTGAGTGACCAAACCATCTAAATTTTAAAAATATTTTAAATTAATGACACGGAAAACAATGTATTTCAAACAAGTCTATAAAACTTAATTATATTAAGTTAATATAATCTCAATGTAAGTGGGTTATGATCTATTATTAGATTAAAAAATGTTATCTTCAATTAGAGATTTCCACTAGCAGATTTTATAACAAGTCTTTCACAGAAATACTCTTGATTCAGAGTAATTCATCTTCTTGAGTCACAAGTAGCAAGTATCTGAAAAGTGATATAAAATCATTGTTAGTAAAATTTGCAAATGACAAAAAATACCCAAATAAAGTAGCAATTAGTAATTGTGCTGGGTCAGCCTTGCAGCCCAGCTTGGGCGAGCAAGCATGCTTAATGTACTAGAACAAATTATGACTAACTCATATGTATATTTCATAGCAATTTGCTAAATTCAACTGTCTTTGGGCACATGCTGTCTCCTGTAAAATTTTTCCTTGATCTTAGGTGTTGTTGTTTTAGCTGTCTTGTGATTTTATTTGAGTCTGGGAATTTAAAAGCCTCAAAAAATTTAAAAGAAGTAAGGCTGGTTTTCCCATCAAAATGCAAAAGGTGGGAGTTTCACAAGGTTAAAACATGAAGCCAAAATCAGAACTGTTTTCCTAAGCTATGAGATTCTGAAACCTGTGATGTGACTCACACCATATCAACTTCCTTTTCAAACTAGATGAGTTTTCAGTCATCTTGTATTTATTATATGCTTTCTGTAACTGTAATATTTAGCCTCTAACCTTGCTCTTGTTAAAACGTTGTGTTATTGCAGAATTGCACTTGGTGATGACTCAGCCTCACAAGATGATTTTCTGTTGAATGATGACAGTGATGCTGACTCTTTATTCTTTGCTCAGTGACATATTTAATGATAAATAGTTGATAACTGAGATCCAAATTCTTTTATGTGACTGAAATAAGTGATAACCAGCTCAGACTAAGTAATTCCTCTGTGACCTAAGGCAAGACACTTCAGCTCTCTGTAGCTAACATCCTTATCTATAAAATGTGAATGGCGTCACTTCATTTATTACCTCAAAAGAAGGCAACAACAGAGCTTTTGGCCTCCAGCACTGTGATAATGCTCTACTGACAGGTGTTACTGCTCATGGCCAAAGAAATTAATGAGTACTACATGGGGCTCAGCAATTACTCTGCACGAGTCCAAGGCTGTGGTGTTTTACACCTAGACACAAGCATTTCAAGCTTTGAGAGGTTTTGGTTACTTTGGTCACTTTGATTGCTTTAAGACAAGCACAGAGTTGTTTTTCTGTTCAGTACTGAACCTGCCATGTGAAGAGTTCAGTTTCCAAAGGTACTGCATTCAATTCCTTGGTGAAGGGAGCAAAGATCTGAGTCACTGGACTCTCTGGAGAGGTGTCTGTGAAGTGTAACACGCCTTCAGGGAAACTGCAAAATCCACATGTCCCTTTTCACCACATTGAGAAATTCCACACCAGTAGTACCATGACTGGGCTGCAGCCATCAATATGGAATGCTTGCTTTCTGTGAACTTGAGGAATATTTTTCACTTAACAGTGGTTTTTTTATGGTTTAACATCAGCATTTTAGTTATCAATATTTACAGCTTACAGAAAATTGAGTGTTGATGAATGCACAATAGGCACAAATATCTTCCATGATTGTAAGTGGGGACAATGAAAAAGGCCACAGTGTCCAGGGGTTTTTAAATTTTTTATTGTGATTTCCAGTCTTGATTATTAAAACTATAAACCATTTCTAACTGCCTGGATCCAAGGAGTTGGATTCATTTTTCTTTATTCTCTAAACTGCTCAGTAATGTAGTTCATTCTTTTTCTCATGGTTTATGAGTTGAACATTGACTTATTTTTAATACCATCACTTACTGTGGTATTAGACTCCCTCTAACCCACAGCTCATCCACATTTTGTCTCACAGACTCACAGGAAAGTTCCTCCTCTCCCAGGCACACTTCATCTTGCATACAGGTAACACCTTCCTGCTAAGCCATTAATAAACATCATGTAGTTGTTCTTGCACCTGTTTGAAGATCACAAAACAACAAATACACCTAGAACATACAAACTGATTTAACTCATAATTTCTTCTGAGAAGAACTGTCATTGTTGAGGACAGGACACATCTCCATGGCACTCCTAAAGCTCATCATACCTCCCTCCACGTTGTGCTTTCCATGTAGAGACATCCAAAGCCTTCTCAGCATAGTTATAAAATAACCATGGCTCAGCTCTTACATCTCTCTTTAAAGAAAATCTGAACTATTGAGATCTTTCCTTCTGATCCCTGCACATTGGCTCCAGGGCAAATGAAGCCAGGCCCATGCAGGCTCCAACATTATCTCTCTGGTCTGACACCTGATCTGGGTAATCAGAAGCCTGAGACTCACCAAAGCAAAGAGACCACCCTGGGAAAATGATGTGTTTATCTGAATTTGTATTCCGAGCTTGCATGTGCTATCAAATAAAAAAGAACTCTTTGCTGCAGGACTCTAACTGGCACACTTACATTGTGGCAGCATTTAAACTTTAGTTCTCTTTGTTTTTATTTTTAAATTTGGCTTCCTTTGGAGGATTTGATTTACATGAAACCCAGAAAAAGACAAGGTTGACATTGTATTGCTCTGTTATTGCCATATAATGTCATCCATCATAGATTAAAAGGTGATGGTATGATGTTTCTCTGTTTGGGTACAATGATATTCAATATGCTTTTTGGAGAGTTCTGTGGTCAAAGTCAGGGAAACCAGAGCTTTTCTTCTGACTTTTCTCATGTCCTCTGTGGAATTTTGATAGGGTGGGAAAATTTCCTTTCTAAGTCTGTAAGCTCTTCTTAAGACAGATAAAGGGATGTGGAATTTCTGGTATCAGGTTGCCAGTATCTTGAAGAACAAGAAATCACTTAAAAGGTGACACAGTTTGAGTCCTTTATTTAAATTCTGATGTTCTGTAAGTAAATTTTGAGTGCCCTGAAACCAGTGAAGTGGAACTTAAGAAAAGTGACTGAAGAAAAGTCTTAGGGATGACATTACTGTTCTGCAAGGAGATGACTTCATTTCAACTACTTTCTCACCCCCTGCAATGAGTGTGGAGGTGCTGCTGCCCACAAAGAGGGCACCTGAGGTGCCAGCCTGAGGTTGGCATCTTACAGGAGATATTATATCCTGCTCTGGCTGCCTTTTTCCCTCTGTACTTTATAAATGGATCACAGCTTGCAGGCAGAAAATGGCCTTCAGACTGTAAGATGGCTGCAGTTAATAGATTTAGCCTGCTATTTGTGAAAGAAAACATAGTGCAGAATTCAGTAAAAAGGTAGGAAAATGGCTTTGCTTCTTGTGCTCTCCTTTTTAAAAATTACAGGGCAATGATGCCCTGAGCATCGTACTAAAGAGCTTGGGACATAGACTGGAAGATTTATTTGAGATTTTTATGTCTGGGCTTGTTCTGCATCTGTCTAATCCATCTGCCTTGGTCTGGTCTTGCCCATGAGTGATCTGGATCACAGAACCAGAAAAATATCTCTTCCCTTAGGCTGAGTCAGGAGATTCTTTATTGTGTAACAAATTTCCCTTCCCTCCCTGTCCCCTCAGTATCTGAGCCAGTAGTTGGAGAAGAAAAACTACCACAATGTCTGCTGTTAAATAGCTGGCTTGTGTACTGGAATCTCACCTTTCAGCATGATCTTTATATGTGTTAAATGACTGAAAACCTTTAACAGAAAAGTCTGTGGTGTGCATATCTCAGGGCATGGGACACAAGCCCATCACCATTTCTTTCCATTAGCTAATGGAATTGCAAGGGGGACAAAAAACCCCATTGAAAACAGAAATCTGTCCCATGTTCTGAGGCAAAATGAGAAGGAGCTACTGAAAGATAGCATGACAAAAATGTAAGAGTTGCATACATTTACAAATCAGCAGTGTCACAGTTAACCAGCACTAAAAGCTGTTCATCTTAATAATGATCATCTTAATGATGTCTTGAAAACATGCAGCAATTACTCAGGATAGTCTTAAGATGCACTTCTTTCCCAAGATCAGGTTTATGATCAGAGTTTACCTCACAGAGCTACATTTTTTCATTAAAAATGATTATTCGAGCATGGCTTTAATTTTTAATATTTTTTTTAGGAAAAATTAAAACAGAAGTTAAACCTTATTGCCTCTGTGGACTTCAGAAGTTACTTTTTGTGTCAGTCTTGCATAAGCTAAAGTGCTGGAAAGGAATTTGAAATGGTGGGTTTTGCACGGTTCAGAGTTTTCCAAGTATTAATATTTATTTAAAGGAAATTCAGTACCTAGCTGGAATACCAAACCTGTTTAACAATGCAAACCTGTGGCTTTACACCCTGTTCTCTGGAGTAAAGGAAGGCTTCCTACCAAATGAAGCAGAAGCTGATTTTCTTTTCAAACTCTGGAGTACAGGCAAGCAGCATTTAATTTATATTTCTTACCATTATTTTAAAAGTTATTGTTAAAACATATCTTCATGCTGCTGAATAACACTGGGTATGTCTTTACTTTGGGGTACACAGAGGTCATTAAAATCTGTCTTTTTTTCTCTCCCACCCTCCTATCCTCTCCCAGTGCACCCACATTTTGCATACACGTACGTGTGTTATTTTACTGCTTGTAACAATTAACCACACTGGCAGCTCTTTGTAGGCTCTGGAACAGAGCAGGAGGGAGAGGAGCTGCACAAACCCTCCCACATCCCTTCTCTGTGGATGTTCCCCAGGGCAGTGCTGACCTCCACTCCGCTCATCACGGAGAAAACCCAGTGAGCTCTGCAAGCAGGGACCCCAGTTCCTCTGCGTGTGTTCAATTG